GTAAGGCCCGAGGGATGGAATTCAGCGCTCCCATAGTAGACTACCGAGTACTTGAACTCATTAGCCACGTTTTTCTAAACGCTCTGGAACGGCGCCAGCTGGGGTAGGGTGGCTCATTCTAGCCAGCCTAGCTGGGGTCTCACTCTCTCTCAGTAATCACGTGATGTCATGGTGGCACATAGCGACAACTGTGGCCTATCCTGTTTAAACTCTCTCGATGTGTAGCGCAGCAGTGGCATCCTACTATCCGTGGCCCCTCACACTCTCAGCAATCACGTGACGGCCCAGTGGCGCGCGGCAATGCTCGACAACGCAAAACGAAAAACAGCAACGACAATGCTAAATAAAATGGGCATCGTATAGTCAGTCGAGTGGTCACAGGCTTTCAACACACTTTAGAATTACCAAACTGTCCTTCATCTTTATTTCTCGTATGACAATTCCACTACCAAAACGTGTTACTAATAACGAGCTGCCCTTGCAAATCTAACCTGGGCCAACAAGAGTGGCGATGTGGGCTTGTTGGTGAAACATTTGAAATAAATTTATGTAGGGCGAGGCGGAAAAACAAACACAGGAAAGAATAGACTGAGAGGGCAGAGCACTCTGTCCTCTCAGTCTATTCTTTCCTGTGTTCGTTTTTTTCGCCTCGCGCTACATAAATTTCTTTCAAATTTCTTTCAACTGACCTGGGCAATCGTCGTGGCGTTTCCCTGCGTCCTGTTCAGCTGGTGCTGTTGGAGAGACTCCCTAGGGACCTCGTCGATCGGTGCCTCGATGCCAGGGCTGGAGACGCTCTTCTCGTCGAAAGGCATGGCCGGACAGTACTTGCGCATAATCGTCCAGAGAACAGCGAACAGCACGATGGCGCACAGCAAAACCAAGCCCATGGGGAGCAAGCCGCTCGTTTGGTCCGTGCCTGCCATGGCTGTCGGTGTGGTGGCCCTGGACGACCTGAGTGTGTGCGCTTGGACACGTAGAAAAAAAAATGTCTAGCGACGCGTCTTGCCGTTCTAATCTAAGGAAACAATAGCGAACAAGAACCTCGAGCCACACACAGCGTTCATCATTTTCTTCTTCTTCCTCTTCTTCGCTGCTCTCAGCAGGGGGGAAGTGATTTTAAATGAAAAGAAGAGAAACGTGGGACACGTAACTGTCTGGCCAATCCCCCTTTGTTGGTGTGCGCGAGAATAACAAGGATAATTATCATCATCATTATCATCATCGTCGTCGTCATCATCATCATCATCATTATCATCATCATCATCATCATCATCTCTCAGGGGGAGGATACCTTAACAGTAGCTCACGAGGGGAGGGGGGTAAAGGAGAAATTAAAAAGATAGGATTAAAAGGTAAAGAGAGAGAGAGAGAGGAGAGAGCGAGGAGCAGGGACAGCGAACGACGGAAGTAAGGAGAAGATAGAAAAGATGAAACACGGTCGCAGGAGTCCGAGGACGGGGCACCACTGGCGATAGCTCTTGTCGACGACAGGAGATGGCGTAGGGCGGGCCCAGTCGGCCAGATCTGCACTGTCGTTGGAGATCGGCGTCAGAAGATGGCGTAGGGCGAGCCCACTCGGCCAGAGCTACGCTGTCGTCGAAGATCGTCGGGGCACAACCGGTCGGCACGAAATCCAGTGAGCGAGACTGCTCTCAGCAGGGTTAACCCTGTGGATGGTTGCGTGTACGTTTCTCGGTTTCTTGGTTAATTACACTGCCACAGATTGGCCGACTAGGTGGCTGCTAATGGGAAGCCTTAAATAACGAATGGGCAAGGACGATCGCTGAAGACGCTTGTCACTGGTGCGCATTCAAATGACGCGTTTCTTTATGCTCGCGGGCGCCATGTCACACAATGTCTAGCCATTGTTGTCGAGGCTCGCTTTACGATGGCTCCAAGCGAAGCGCAGGTGCGAAATATCTGTGCGTAGTATCCCCTACAGAGAGTACATACCGCCCATATGGTTTTAAATAAGTAAACTATCACAAGCCCGTAAATATACGGACATTTTACCACCCATCCAACCATATGACAGCGCGAAAAGTAAAAACGCGTCAAATGAAAGGCTTTCGTCCAAACAGAATACATGGACAGAACATCGTGACAGCGGCAAAGCGGCAACGCCAACTTTGCAACCTAGACATTCGTGAAGAAAAGAGTCACAAGAATAAACAAATTAAAAGGTGAGACTATCGTGAAAAACACAGGCGTTTGACCACCCATCAATAAAAAATTATGGCAGAACAAAAGGTTTCCAAGTACCACATAAAACACTGTTAACCAGAACAAAAAAGAAGGCCCCAATTCATAGTCATATTCTTCGCCACATTATCAGCTTCGTAGATCTGCATTAATTTCTAAGTTCTCGCTTCAATGAACGTTTATGCTGTTTATAGTATCATTAAGGATGGACGAACAAATAGTAGAATACGTCGTACTCTAAATCGTTAACAACTTTTTCTAAACACACAATGAAGGGACGGCTTTGTGCTCTCCCATAGTAAAATACTAAGTAGTCTGAATCAAAAAAAAATTTGTTCTTAACACATTTGCGCCACCTGAACTTCGATTATGGTAGCCATGTTATTGGAGAATAAAGTGGTGACTTGAAGAAGAAAATTATTAGATTTGCCACAAAAATTTACAAGGCAATAGGACGAGAAGGCGGCGAAAAGGACTCTATCCACCTATATATGAATGTGTGCTTTAGTCTAATTTTCCTTAGTCTTCAGTACAACTGTGTTTAGAACAAATGTTTGACGATTTTGAGTACTCGATTATGAGTACTATGTACTGAACTCTGGGCGAGCATAGGCTGTCCCAGTCTGTTCCACGGCTGTGTTTTGCGAAATAAGTTCAATGATTCTGAGCACATCGTGCTCTACTATGGGAGAGCATAAAGCCGTCCCAATGCACGAGGCTAGGGTTGGGGAAGCAGGCTTGCTCTTTGACTTTCCCGGAATACTGTTAATGCTAAACTGGCATATTGATTCACATGACATTTCCTTTATTCCAGCAGAACACGTAACGAGAGGTTTTGCCACAACTTGTTTCAACCGGTAGCTCACATGTTTCTGGACATCTTGACGTGATTTACAGCATCCGCTCGCTCGTCACAAAGTACGCCGTTTCTTAATTCAAATGTTTTTACTGTGTGTGGACTTATTGTATACCCGGTTACAATCTAAGAAAAAAATATCGGCTACGCCCATTGAACCATGGCTGCCTGTACTTCATTTGTGAAAGCGACAACTTTTCTTGGCCCTGAAGCGAAAGCTACGGAGCCAAATCGCGTGCATCCTACCGCCAGTGGATGTAGTTCCAAAGTTGCGCCCGTATTTTCAAAGTGAAATATAAATGTTCCTCCATTACTTTTTACATGGGGCTATTTGAGACAGGACGCAGCTAACACCAGTACGGTATATATTCATATTTCTTGTAATTTATCTGTCATGACTTCGCGTTTCTAAACTCGCGAGAAAGTCCCACCTTTTTGCGTGCACCTCAAACGCTAAGCGGCGTCTGCGTCTACATGAAACGCTGATGATGAGCCCCCCGTCACTTTACACAGCGTTACAAGACGCGCGCGAGAACGGAGTATACTTCGCGTAGTGCTACATGTGCAGAAGCTCCGCCTCCGTAGCTTTCCCTTCAATGCCAAGAAAAGATGTCGCCGATTGATTGATTGACATGTGGGGTTTAACGTCCCAAAACCACTATATGATTATGAGAGACGCCGTAGTGGAGGGCTCCGGAAATTTAGACCACCTGGGGTTCTTTAACGTGCACCCAAATCTGAGCACACGGGCCTACAACATTTCCGCCTCCATCGGAAATGCAGCCGCCGCAGCCGGGATTCGAACCCGCGTCCTGCGGGTCAGCAGCCGAGTACCTTAACCACTAGACCACCGCGGCGGGGCAAGATGTCGCCGAGTATAGCTTACTTCCTATAACCATGAATATAGTTTTCCTTGGCGAATGCAATTTCTACACATAATTATAGTTGAAGGTTCGTCATCTGTCTGTCTGGCTTTGTATTCATTTAGGAAGAAAAAAAAAGTGACCGCGTATATGCCTGCTTCATTGCAAATGTCCTTGAAAGACGATAGTCTGCAGTCTGGAGGCACGACTAGAGATATGGGCGCAACCTGGCAGTAGTGTAGGGGAACGAAAGCTTGTGCAGAACGCAGAGCCACTGGTAGGTGGAAGCATCTTGTCGTCGGCAGAGCGCTTTTTCGTGCAGCGTCGCATTCTCAGCGAAGCGTAAAAGCACCCTCTGAGCCGTTCATAGCGTCGAATTTTCTGTGTAGCGTAAGAAACACCAGGGTCTTTATAATTAAGTTTCCGTGTATTTTTCTATTAAAGGAGCACACCACCAAAGATAGGCATAGTAATGGAGTTTTGATCGACAATGTGTACAAGTATGAAGGCAGCCACCAGATCAAGATGACCGGGTGATGAGAAAGTGCTTAAACGTTTGTCGGGTGACTAAATTGTAAGACAGATAGACAAACAGACAGACAATAAGACCAAAATTTTCGCTTTCAAGTGTCCCACGAGCGTATCATCTTTAAAAACGAGGGGAAAGGCAGAGATATTAGTCAGTTTTTTATGACCGGTCTTCTGCCATGCACAGAAGAAAAGGAAGGGGAAGATTCACAGGAGAGGAGAGAGAAACAACGTCACTGACATGACGTCACTGAGACGAGCAGCAGTCTTGTACGGCATCTTGTGAGGTAGGCGCTGAGCACACACCCTCAAAACCTACCAGTTAAAAAGAAAGCAATACCTAAATAATGAATGCACAGACATCATTTGTCTCGTATTTTTCCATTTGTTCTCCGCTTTTAATTGTCGACTTGCGCAGAGAGAGAAGTAAGATGCTTCATCGGCGCTGCAAGCTGCACGGTTTTTATTCAGCTGACGTTGGAGGCGGTTCCAAGCTGTTTTACCGGTCCCAATCACGAAGAGGGCCGGTTTTCGTCCGTCGCCAGGAACTATCCCAGCACCACGTCTTGCATGTCGCATTTCTGCAGGTTACAATCCTGTAAAGTTCAGCGTAGCATCGTATCAAACATACAGTCTAATGCGTGCCACCATGAAGGTGATAACGTTTACTGAAAAGAGATGAAAGCAAATTGGCTTGGAAAGCGTGTTTCTATATTCAGCGAGTCACTGCGGGAGTTGCGGGAAAATAGAGGGAAAGAAAAAGAGGGAGGTACGGTAAGAATAACATAGACCTATCCTATGTTTCATAACAGCGCGGTAGGCGCCGTCAACATTGTGTTGCGCTTGTAGCGACGTCGAAGCACGTCTATAGGCTCCGCCCATCCCAAAGCTCGCCGCTGGCCTCTTTGATCTCTTGACTACTGGCACGGCAGTTTCAAAGCTGCCTCCGAGCACAGCAAGTCGGGGAGCCTCCCACACTCTCCCCCGACGCCGTCCGACTCGCGCAGACTAAGAACCGAGCCGTGAGTATAGGAGTGCGTCCGCCTGAGCAGTTATCTTGGTCAGTCCGAATCTGCTCGAGTCTTGTTCGGTGAGATTTCAGCGAATGCGAAGAAGTCCGGATGAGGAAAAATGAGAGAAATATGAGTGCGAGGAAGCCCTTAGAGCCAAGCATATTTCTTGAATGAGAGTTGGGGAACTGCACTATCTTTAGCGACCTATAGTCTCATCAACTAAGCTAAGGCGTTAGTATACCAGCCTCATGTCAGCTCACGTTTATACTCGCGTCGACTCGCACATACTTCAACGCGGGGAGATGATTTAGACTCCAACCAAAAGTTTTGAAGAAACCCGACGTTTCGAAACGGACTTGGTTCCTTTTTCAGGGGTGACTGCGGGGACTACGTAGCGGCGGCGTCTTCAAAGCACTCGCGGGGCGGATAATGACCTCTCTCTCTCTCATTTTGCCGTGGAGCGCTGTCCATGGACTGCGCTCCGCGGTAAATATACTTAAGAACATAAGAATTCACGTATAAGTATTCCGCTTTCTTCAAATAAAGTTTAACGTTGATTTCGTAGCCTCTGCTCGTCTGCTACGTCTCCCTCTGGCCCTCGCGTTTGGCGCAATGTATTAACGTAACCGCTAATGACTGTTTATCCCCCTCTTGTGCTGTAACGTCTGGCGTACCTCAAGGGTCAGTACTGGGGCCGTTGCTCTTTCTTATTTACATTAACGATCTTCCCGCCTGCATCACTTTTTCAACCATTAAACTCTTTGCTGATGATTGTGTATTGTATCTGAAAATTTCTACCCCAGCTGATACCTTGAAACTTCAAACCGATCTTAACAACCTATCCGAGTGGTGCAATAAATGGCTCATGCGTCTTAACGTGTCCAAATGCAAATACATGCGAATTTCGCGTCGTGATAATACTGCTAACACGTGCACGTATAGTCTTCATGCCACTTCTTTATCACACGTCGATTCATATAAATACCTCGGTCTTCATATCACAAATAATCTGTCTTGGCAGATGCATGTTGACTATGTAACTAACAACTCTAACCGCATGCTCGGATATTTACGTCGCAATTTTTCATCTGCACCTTCATCACTAAAGCTAACTCTTTACAAAACGCTAGTACGTCCGAAATTAGAATACGCATGCGCCATCTGGGATCCTTCCAAACATACTCTAATCCTCGCCCTCGAATCGATTCAAAACCGCGCAGCTCGTTTTGTATTTTCTAACTACTCCCGCCATTCTAGCGTAACTACAATGAAGATGACGCTAAACTTGCCTGATCTGTCGTTGCGTCGTAAATGTTCTCGGCTTTCACTTTTTCACAAAATATTTCATCACAACCCCATTTTAAAAGAACAGCTTTTCACAAACCCCTCCTACATTTCATCCCGTTTTGATCATGGTTTAAAAGTTGGTGTGCCACCTAGTCGAACTAATCTTTATTATGACTCTTTCATTCCACGAACAAGCAGGGACTGGAACCACCTTTTCGCCGCCATCGCCTCCATCACAGATGTAAATAACTTCAAGGTCATCACCCACCAAGAAGTGCTTTGAATGTATTGTTGCGCGTATTAGTTTTGAAACCCCACTCCTTTCTGTAATGCCCTCGGGCCCTGAAAGTAAATAAATGAAATGAAATGAAATGAATTACCTATGTCACACCAACTCGCCCAGATAAAGCTTCTCCAGCTCCACATGTTCAAGATGAATGATCGCTTCACAGCTTCAATGCGGGACTACTTCAAATTATCATCATTACAAAGCCGCATGCTATTGCTAGAAAATCAAAACGGTGATCGAGCGGCCTCTCACCAGCAACGTGACGCCAGTGAGGATGGCAGTACGCATATCACAGTCTGCCAGGCTGACTTTGTTCATCTCTGCTTTCTTCAAGTTCACGCCGTACATCTTGCTTCCGTCCAGCACAGCGTCATTCAGCTTGGCCCCTGCAGTTGGAAGCATTAGTAATTGGTTCAGTGGCTTTAGGCAGGCTTTCGCGTGATTTAGGTGGAAGTGCGAGAGAGCTTAAGGCAAAAGCCTTATGTTCCTTATCAAACTCGAAAACAGACCTTCGGCGTCAGCATAAGAAACGCTAACAACATCTCGTGATTACCACAGCGTCTGACGTTGTCGTGGTCTCACGAATCACCGAAACGTATTATGATGTCACTATGAACCACAGTACGCGGCGTCCCGTGGTGACGTCCGCATATCGTGGACTGATCTCGGAGGCCATGCTAAGCCAGTCTAGGCACAGAAAGTTAGCAATGCCTTCGATTGTAGAGATAGTGAAAAAACCGCGCCAAATAAAAAAAAAATCAGATGGAGGCGTGGTAAGTGAGGGAGGATTCAAAAGATCAACTGAGAACGAAGCAAAGATGGTTTGTGCCTTTCAGTCGTCTTCCGTTCAGGCTTGAGAGACCCCGGGAGTTTCTCTTGGTCCGCACACCTCTAGGCATTAGCAAAATAGTATCACGGTATCGTGAATACAACGATAATACAGGGCTTTACGTCCCCAAACCACAATATTCTTATGAGACGCCGTAGTAGAAGGCTCCGGAAATTTCGACCATGTTGTGTTTATTAACGTGTACGGACTTCGCACAGTACACGTGCCCCTACCATTCCGCCTCCATCAAAATGTGACCACCGCAGCTGTGATCGAATCGACGACAATCGCGTCAGCAGTCGAGCACCTTAAGCGCTGACGTCACTCTATCCCTCGCCTGCCGCGCACTCGCTGCGGCACCCGCAGCTGCCGCCTCATCCGTTCACTCGCAACACCTGCCACGACCGCCACTCGCTGCACCACCTCGTCGGTTCACGCACAATAAACCTGATGCGCGCCTCACGTAAGCGTTGAAACACGCCTGTACGTGTCACCTACGCCATCATCGCTTCAAACCTATTTTCCGGCACTCACCGCAGCACCCGCGTTACCACCATTCAACCCGTGACACCACCCGCGCGCAACACTGCTGCTTTGCATCCCATAATGGTAACGTTCGGAGAAATAGTCCTAGTTTTTTTTTTTTCCTTTGCGGTGACGAAACGTGACAGCCCAACTAGCGTTCGTGTGGCGCTTCGAAGCACCGCCAAGTGTCTTACCTTCCAAGTTAGCTATGTTGGCGGAGACATCGCCTTGCTGGCCCATGACGCAGGACTTGGCGTACACTCCAGACAGGTTGGCGTGGTTGAACTTTGCTCCAAGAAGCTGAGCCTTCTGGAAATCCAAAGTGCGGCGTGGTCTCTATCAATGAGGCAAAACCCAAGAAATTTGCGAAGTTCTAGACATACACCGTCATGTTATGCACCACCTTCGACTTAAGGAGGTATTACCACCAATTCTCCAAACAGAGTTTAGCGAAACATCAAAATTCACCGCATACAGAGACAACTCCGAGGAGGTGTAAATGTCCGTAAATGCCGCTAGTGGGTTTTTACTTCGATATCAATTTTCGCATGGAGCATTAACTAACATCGAGACCGTCGTGACGTCAGGCTACCCTATTGATTAATGCGCATAATGCGCCAGTAAAGCTTCTTGCGATGACGTCAGGTACAAACACACTTAAAATAGCTGCTTGCCCATCCCCAAAGGAGACACCAAGTGGAGCGGCCGTGAAAAATTCACGATATCTTAGGTGAAAACGTGACGAAACGTTCAGATGTCGTGACGTCAACGTATAGTAGGAACCATAACAGGCTTTTTAAACGTGCTGTTGTATGATGCCGGGTCGACGAAGGATGGATCTCAACATGAAAACACAACTGTTTATTTGATCTAACAACATTAGACCGATCATACTGACGCTACGCTCGGCAGAGACAACGGAGCAATGTAAATACCGAGCTTGACAGCTTGGGTTTTATATCCACCAGTGGTGACGTAAGCCTGCGCTGAAGCTGTGGTGGCACTGTCCCTTATCGGAGGCGTGTTGCAGCAAGTGGCCCTGTCACACCGGGCTAACCACTGTCACACTGGGCTAACCAGTGACGAGACTGATGCTGCGCAGGTTTGTGCGCAGTAGTCACCAAACTGTCATCAATTTTCCATCGAGCACTGACGCTTTTGACTGCATCGCGTAAGCTCCCGAGGGCTTGGTGTTTGAGTAGATGGCAAAAAACGAAACCTTAGAACCTGGAGATGTTCGTATTCATACACCTTTAACTATGTACTCATTTCGGAACACAACTATCTAGGTATGATGCAGCATAGTAATAGGCACAACAGATATAGATGCGGAGTTCCCTGGCAAGAGAAGAAAATGTAAGGTCTGATTTTTATTTAAAAACTCATGCATTCCCTGGTGCATCAATTTTAGTTCGAGTGTACTCTGGCGCTAGCCCTTGGTGACTGAAAACAACCACGCAGTTTGATCACCACAACTCCAGTTCAAAGGAACAGAACTTGAGCAACCTCCCACTGGCCTTCAGTGATCCAACTTTGAAGTCTCCATCATCGCCATCATCATCATCATGATCATAATTACATTCTCAGACTTTTGATGCCTTCTGAAAGACGAAAGCTTCTGCCAATATTCTGTACGTTATCCTATCTTGTGCTCCATACAACACCGAATTTTTATTAGACGCAACCAAGTGTTTGAAGTCGCAATTAGAGCCAGAAAAACAAACGAACTGATGATTCTTGTCGTTAAGTTTATGGCGTCAATTAAAAACTAATCAATGTGCACGGAATCACCTTTCTCATCGGAGTGATTTGAACCCACTTTGGGTTCACGCGGATGATGCGTAAATCAAATTTTATGGTTCCGATGAGTAATAGCGGCAAGTGCATAAATGACCAGGCCATCTATTTAACTAGTTAGGGGCTTGAAGCCAGTAACAAAGTGTTACTAGTTAGATATTTATTTAGACAGCTGGTTAGCAGCGCATTACCTTGTTAGTCAGTCAGTCAGTCAGTTAGTTAGTTATTAGTTAGTGTTTCGTTAGTTATTAAGTTATTAGCTAGTTATTACTTAGTTAGTTTCTTAGTTATTCAGTTTAGTTTAGTTAGTTAGTTTTCTAGCTTAGTTAGTTAGTTAGTTATTTAGTTTAGTTAGTTAGTAGTTAGTTAGTTAGTTAGTTAGTTAGTTAGTTAGTTAGTTAGTTAGTTAGTTAGTTAGTTAGTTAGTTAGTTAGTTAGTTAGTTAGTTAGTTAGTTAGTTAGTTAGTTAGTTAGTTAGTTAGTTAGTTAGTTAGTTAGTTAGTTAGTTAGTTAGTTGTTTAGTTAGTTAGTTAGATTACTACCGCACCGAATCAACGCCGAGCCATCCTTACCTCTAACTTGGCTTCGCGCAAGTCTGCGTAGTCGAAGACGCTGTGGTTCAGGATGCTGTGGGACAGGTCACACTTTTCCATCTTCGCCCTCTTGAACTTGATGTGATTCAAGTCCAGGTGCGAGAGGTCGGCACCCGTGAAGTCTGCTGCCTGAAGCAAAGTTTTCTGAACTCACATATTTCAGCGTCACGCACGGAAAATCACAGGCGCCGGCCAGCCTACAGTAATGCGGCCCTCAAAGAAGCGCTAATCACACGCGTGTTTTGTATGTGTGCGTTTCTGCCTAACTGCTCCTTCAATCGTGACCTTGTATGCCTAATGTTGCGATTTGATTTTGTATCAGCGTCGTTTATATTAAGACGATCGAGACCAGGGGCTGCTTCGAACGAATACGGTTTATTAGAAGAAGCGAAGTAGCACGCGCTCGCTCCAGGCAGCAGTCTTTTTTTTTCTTCTTCCTCCTGGGTTTGATGATGACACTTTATAGTTTATTAGCGAGTAATAGCTGAGCGGGACAGTGGAGCGCAAGACTATAGAGGAAGAATAATAGCCAAGCGAATTCTTCGCTTGTGTCAGCAAAGACGGCGGAGTAGAGATCAATGGCCTTTACAGTGAAGTAGGGAGCCTTTGTATGCGCGCGCCGACGCGCACATGAAGGCTCCCTAAAGGCCTAACCCCATGTATCCGTCGCAGCGCGTCGGTGCGTGTCTTTTTGACGCGGCGTCGAGCCCTCTCCCATATGGAAAGAGAAAGCGCGCGGCTTCGCTTAGCCACGCACCCTCTTTCCGCAGCGCCTCGTCAAACAGCCGCGCGCTGACGCGCTGCGACGGATACGTGGGGTTAGGCCTTCATTTGCGTACATCATCAGCGCCGCAGTCGAGTTGCTAAAGCAACAGCGGCGGTTCTGCGTTCGTATGAAGGCGGCAGTGAAATGTGCCAAGGTGAAATGATAAGACAACTCGATTAGCGCAATAACTAGTCACCTATGCCACATCATAAATTAGTTGAACGCGCCGACCAACCCATTATTAGGAAATAGAACGTTGGGTAAGAATGGTGAGCGTATACTTACTGGAGAAGGCACTCGTTACCGCCCCATATTAGATGCGGTCACGCCGGCGCACGCAGACACCTATAGTTTTCTTGCGGTTACACGCACATACAACGCCAGGGACACTTGTGATCCAAAACAAGCTCCTGTTCAAACAAATGGGACGTACTTGGAAGCGGAGATCTCCGGCGGGAATCCTAGCGAGGGCTATGAGGACGTCTTGGCGTGTGAATGGGCGGTCGGTACCGCTCTCCGCCGGCGCCGGGCCCATACCAGCTTCCAGCTCACGGATCCTTCCGAAAGCCGACCTCGACCCCTGCGAGCCATTCATTGTCACTTGGTTAGCGAAGCAGCCCTTTATTTATTTATTTATTTATTTATTTATTTATTTATTTATTTATTTATTTATTTATTTATTTATTTATTTATTTCAGAAGTACTGCCAGCTTCTCATGTGAGGCCTTAAGCAGGGTCGGGTGACACATAAAAGCATGGCAGTACAACAAAGCAAACATCGCGCGGGAAAACTAAGTACACTGTTCACTGTTCACTGTTCAAAGTACACTGTTCAAAGTTCACTGTTCACTGTTCACTGTTCACATCAAATGCAAACGTCGGCACTTGTACACTTTGCAAGTTTTCCTTATGCGGACACAGAAAATATACAAAGAAGGAAATAACAAAAAGAAATGACCACAAACATCTGTTGGTAAATGTCTGTTCATTGCGTAACACCTGAAATGCAAACATCGCGTGAAGGTGGTGCATAATATCAGCAAAACACACACATGTTGATGAACCCCCACTAAACGTAATAGTTGATGTGAAATATCTTATTCTACCGTTATATAGAACGGAGACTTATTGACAGAAAAGTAGTTAGCGTGGAGTCAAGAAAAGCAGGGAGCAGTTTTTTTTTGTTTTTTTTTCTTGCAAGTGCCACAGCGTGGCTATATGATATTCTCAGTGTGTCATGTCTAATGCAACGAAGTACATCTGCCGTGTGTACGAGAGCTTCCAGCAGTGACCATCACAGCTGAACATATGGCAAGCAACTTTGCGGCCATTCTTTTTCTCCAATATGGTGACGATGATGACATCCCTGGCAACTATTTATATCCTAAGGGATTTCTTTAAAATTAGTTTTCCCGTAAGGGTGAAGCTATGTATTTACAGTCGCAAGAAACAAATGTTTTACTACTTAAAGCTACCACATAGATTCTATGGCTTCCGTAAATCATCTTTGTGATCTCCGTCACAGCCATGACTATGGAGTGCACCAGTACAAAGCCACTGCTACTGTAGGCAACCACAAACCAGGGCGAGCATGCTAGGTTTTCATCACGAAAATGGGCTGGCGTTACTTCTTTTTTCATTCTCTGTAGCCGCGTGCTTGTATGCCCGCCTACCCGAATTCATAACGTCTAACTGGTGTGTTGCATTTTGGTCCGGCAAGGTCCTTTTCGATACGCCTATAGCTTCTTTCGTATCGCATCAATGGCATTTCACACCTAAATACAGCTGTAGACCGGTGACGAACAAACGCAGCATGTGGCGGTTGAATACGTTACACCCGATCAGTGTACAACGCGCGAATCTTAAGCATATTTACCTCACTGACCTTTCCGAGATCGTGGACCAAGCCTTCGATACCAAAATACTTCGCCTCTTCGAGAACACCTGAAATAAGAAGTCTCAGTTTGGAAGCATTGCAAGGGTGAAGCAATTAGTGTGAGTGACATAGCGTCGAACTGCAACGTTCTGCAAACTGAAGGGCCCCTGCACCACAAAGAGTCGTACTTCCTCCCTCGCCTTGTCCGCCACGGTGGCGTAGCGGTTGCGGAGCTCAGCGGCTGTTTGAAACACGAATTTTGTGCGTCATCAACTTTCCATTAAAATCGTTTAGTAGCGCTTGTTGTGTGTGACTCTGTGTGTCCGTTGTGTCTTTCGTGCTACATCATGCTTTTCAGCAAGCACCAACTAGCCCAAGAACAAGTCCTTCTGCAGAAAATCAATGGGAGGGAACGTGCCTGTTGGCGACACGTCCTTGTCGAGCATGACTTTCCTGTAGCGAAGATAGTTGAGCACCACCCTGAAGTACGCCGGGTCCCGGTCAAACATGTAGGCACCCTGCGCATCCCTCCTGGCAGCGAAATCTGCCGCGTTTGGTCCCACGGAAAACAAGCCGGCCAGCTTGGAACGCGGCTCCGATGAAGTCAGTGTAGCTCTGCGACAAGATTACCAGTGATCAAGTAATGAAAGAAGCACTCTTACAGAAGTACTTTGCAATTTTTATTGTTTTTTTTGCATCTGATGAGAACAAAAGCCCTCACGATTCATTAGCGTGAAAGCGTGCGGAAAAGGGCTCGTATTATGCGAGTAAGCGTGGTAGAAGTCTATCCACAAAGACAGTCTGTGCCTCAATTCTACAAGATACAAAGTTGGACTTCAGTGAAACATCCGTCGGCATTATTTGCTGTGTCCCCCTCAGGAAGATAACATAAGCAACAGTTCTGCCGTAAGCACGCAGAAATGAATGCGTTACTGCAGCCTTGGGACATGTACCGGGTCGTCCTCTCCAGTGCCATCAAGTGAGGCGTCCTCTTTGGCATGGTTAGGTTGCTCCTGATGCTGGTGCTAAAGCTGCCCGATCACATCCAGGGGGCACCACGACAAGCGGGCCCGGAATCACGAGAAGCATGGCATCCGCAAAACTTGGTTTGCCGTGGCTTGTGGTATCACCATCGTGTGATTCTCTTACCTCACATTGTATAACAGCCGCGTCACGATAAGTGTGATAGACAAATGAAGACCATTGTCTTTCGTAAATACACACCTCGTGGTGGCAAAGTACTGCCCGCCAACGTTGAGAAGGACCCACTCGGAGTCGCCAGGTGGAAGAGATGGCACCAGAGAAGATGGCGCTAAAAAACGAGAGCAAAAAAAATTCAAATATTAAACGAAACTAAGCGTTCTGCAGTGAACATTACAAGGCTAGCTCCAGAAAGGGATACATTAAAATCATCTGCTTGAAGCACTGGCCACAAAACAATTCGTACAGATTCTTCAGGAAATGAAGCTGCTAGTTGAAAAAAAAATCATCCTGGTATTGGCGTCGAACCCGAAACTAACGTCGTTACGAGGCGGTTGCTCTTCTCATTGAGCTCACTATTGAACTGAACATTCGTTGGCACAAGGGCAAACGTCACTTCCTGCTCCAATGACGTGATTACTGAGTATACCTTTCAAATCCACTCCTTAGCATTGATTCTAAATATTCTGTGTTCATGTAACTTGAGTTGTTGACTGATTTGTCCTCGCGCTGCGTAATGCTAACATCCTGGTTAGCTCTATTGGTTGATAGACCACACAGAAAAATATGCGCTGTTGGCATGTTCAATCACGAGGTCTGGAGGATTTTAGATGCGAAGCAGCTTTATGACTATCCCGTGTAATGCTATCCCGTGCGTCCATACGAACCTTCTCGTGACAGGAGTTGGAGCGGTGCAGAGTAGGTCAAGTCGCAGCTCCGCGTTGACGTTTCTCTTTCCCTCACCCACAGTAGCGGCCGGCTCCTCCACCCACTCGCAACACACTTCTTTCTCGCTTCACTTTCACCACCACACGCAATGCTCGACCGCACATCGAGTGGAAACCCTCTTTCGGCTCGTTTATCTCTGATGAAACTTACAAGTAACCAAACCCACCTCCCGTGTCCTTGCATTTCAAACAAACGTTTATTCGAGTAAACACTGCACTGAGTTTCGCCTCAAACTGTTCCTCCAGCGTCCGCGTCGATGCCCGTTCCAACCGCGTCAACGCCGTGCGCCCCGCTGCTGCTTGATATCCCATCAGAGGTCCCTTCGGGGAGAGGTTCTTTTTTTTTCAACGAGGGATTTTTTTTTTCTGAGAAATCGGCATGAATTGTCTTATGGCATCGTGCTTCGAATGGGTGGTTGTAGTAGTAGTAATAATAATAGTATTATTAATATATTCATTATTATTATTATATTATATTATTATTATTATTATTATATTATTATTATTATTATTATTATTATATTATTATACACATTAACTCCTGGCACAATGCGGTTAGAACTCATTCGCAAAACTTGCCAACTTATGCGTCTCGATTATCGTCTCAATTATATGATACGGCTGTTCCTGAGCACACTAATTGATTGATTGATTGATTGATTGATTGATTGATTGATTGATTGATTGATTGATTGATTGATTGATTGATTGATTGATTGATTGATTGATTGATTGATTGATTGATTGATTGATCAGTCCTTACTTGTGTACGAAAAGCACAGAATGGTAGACGCATACGCGGCGAATCGAAACACTGAAAGGGGGGAAACGCAAATGAACCGTGACCGTGCTTGGTCCTTCGCCAAGGGTCTCACAAGCAAGATGACAGCTTACGCGGTACGAAGTCCTCTCCCGACGAGACGTAAAGCACGTCCATATTCCTGAAAGGCAGAGAATTTCATCAGTTCGTGATTCCGTCTCTTCGGGGCTAATTTCCGCGTGTTACGCCATGCGGTAAAGATGTGCGGTTTGGTTGCATCGGCTTGTATGCGCTGCGTAGCGAGTCGGTACGAAAATGGCATCTCTATGTTTTACACCGAGTATCTCAGCAAACTCCATCGAACGTTTGAAATCTTTGCCGACAAGCTCAATGGCAATGAGACCAAATGCAATTTGCTGCTACTGCGAGGCGTAAGTTTAGCTATTTTTTGTTTTAGTTTCCTGCTAAAAAACCTATTGAGGTAAGATTACTTGGCAACATTTGAAGCAACGAATCTGGGAAAGAGCCGCAATTGGAAAGTCCTAGATCATTTTGTAAGAACACAGTCCGCCGCAGTGGTGCAGTGATTTCGGGGCTCGGCTGTCGACCCGAGAGTCGAGGGTTCGAACTCCGCCACGGTGGTCGCATTTCAATGGAGGAGAAATGCTTTAGGCCCGGGTGCTGGGCAACGTCAGTGCACAGGTCAGAACACCAGGCCATCAAAACTTCTGAAGGCCTCCACTACGGCGTCCCTCAGTCATGTCGCCCTTTTCGGACGTAAAAACCCAATAATTGTTAATTATGTGGCAAAATAATTAAATCCTTGCCCCCGGACTACATAAGCTCGAACTCGCCCAACGCAGCCTTCCATGGGCTTGGCAACACCACAGCTATGGCCAAGGCCTCTTACCTGCAACGCCTTTTTGTCCTGCAGTGACATCAGTTCTAGCGTTGACCTAAATATACCCACCGATGCCCTCTTTTTAGACTTTGAAAAATCCTTTGACAAAGTTCCGCACCAACGGCTACTCCTCAAGCTTTCTTGCTTAAACGTTAATACAACGACGTTCAACTGGATTCGTAGTTTTCTGACTAATCGGCAACAATTTTTGTACGCTAACAACCATTCATCTAACCATCTTCCCGTAATCTCTGGCGTCCCACAGGGCACAGTACTCGGACCCCTACTTTTCTTAATTTATATAAATTACCTCCCAGCTAACATTTCATCAAATATTCACCTGTTTGCAGATGATTGCGTCGTGTACCGTCCAATAAAAAACCCTACCGATATTGCTATACTTCAAAACGACCTTAACCTTATTGAATCCTGGTGTAACGACTGGCTAACGTCTTTAAACGTAAATAAGACATCGCTAATATCATTTCACCGTAGGCAACATTATCAGCAAGCGACTTACACCATTTCGGGCTTTACAATCTTAACAGCAGAATCCTATAAATACCTCGGCGTAACATTCTCAAGCAACCTCACCTGGTCCACTCACGTTCACAACGCAGCATCCTCCGCTAATCGTGCGCTGGGTTTACTTCTTAGGAATTTAAAACTTGCTCCCTCATCAGTGAAGTTGTTGGCTTACACCACATTTGTTCGCCCTAAATTGGAGTACGCATGCTCGGTTTGGGACCCTCATCAATCTAATCTATCTAACCTTCTCAAATCTGTACAAAATGGCGCAGCCCGGTTCATCTACTCCGTGTACTCTTATCATTCCAGCGTTTCCGAACTTAAAACTCGTGGCCACCTCAACAACCTAGAATCACGTCGTCATATATCTCGGCTCTGTCTTTTTCACATTTTATCACGCTCCCTTCAACGTTCCAGCCATCTTGCCTGCTCATCGATTATCCAGCCGTACAAACCATCCCCGAGCCGTTTATCCACCGCCAGCGCAAACTACTGCCCACCTTCGCTCCTCTTTTGTTGCAACCGCCCGGGACTGGAACAACTTGCCTGCCTTCGCCATGCACCACTCCGACCCACATGTATTCAAGACCGTGATTGAATCGTTAATCTGTTGCTAATTATGCCCATCCCTCGTGTAATACCCCGACTGGGGCCTTTGAGGTATACTAAATAAATAAATAAATAAAATGTACACTTTTTATTCATTAAGTATTAATGTTTTTTTTCTGCCTGCTGCTGGGTCTCGTGAAATAGAAAAACATGCCAGGTCCCTTTGAGAGCCGTGAGTAACATGTTCCCGCGGCTGCAGCCGAGGGCCACGCTTCCTAGCGTTCCGCTTACAAAGTATTGACAGCCCTTGCCCACTTTGTGACAGGCGATGCGGTGGTTATCGCTTGTTCTGGCGCAAGCAACGAGTGCTTCACTGAACGGCCCCCACTATCATAGTAAAATTAACAGTAATGATTGTTAGAGTTCGTCATCCCAAAAGCACCATATGATTTTGAGAGATGCCATAGTGGATGACTCCGAAAATTTAGACCACCTGGGGTTCTTTAACATGCAAGTAAATCTGAGCACATGGGCCTTAAGCATTTTCGCTTCCATCGAAAATGCGGCCGCTCTGGTCGGTGATTTGATCCTGTGACCTGCGGGTCAGCAATCGAGCTGCCTTGGCCACTACACCACCGTGGTAGATAAGCCCCCATCATCATCACTATTCGCCTTTAAAGGAGCTCCGCAATATTTTTTAGCATGGTCAGAAAACGATGCCTATCAGGTAGTCGAGGTTCCCGAAAACACGTGAGCCAAATATTATATTGCAGCACGCGGCCTTAAATTCACAGTGAAACTTTGAAAGTAAGCTAAAATTGATTTCCTTTCTCTCGACAAATGACGGTACAAGCTCGAAAATCACTCGCCACAGGCCAAGTAATAGCCATTGGCTGATTTGAGCATGGCGCGCTCGATCATTACGGGGGCCGCCGTGGGAGGCCGTCACTTGTCCACGCGTGCGCGCTGAAAAACCGCGTATTCAAAGAAGAGAAAAAGCGTGCAAGGTCATGCGCGTGACGTATTTTCTTTCCCCGTGCCATCCCTCTCTGCTTAGCTTCCAGCGCTTTCGGTCAGGATGAGAGTAGAGAGAATGCAATTGCCAGGTGCGACGAATTATTGTAGCTCTACTCGTGATGAACGGACTATAAAAATATTTGCGTAGTGGTAAATTCGTCAGGTAATAAGTTCCTTCGGCGAATTAATTCCATGGCCACTTTTAAAATTGTTGCAGGGCCCCTTTAAAGCAGCCACACACCCGGCCCAATTTTGCACGCGAAACGTTAGGTAGCATGGCATTCGCGGTGCGCATATATACAGGTGTGCAAGCGGTCATGTGACGTCGTACCTGTATTTTTTTTTTGCTGGCATATGTAGTGAGTCGAAAAAAAAATTTGCTTATACACAAGGGTTAGTAACTGACTTTGTAGTGGGAAGTTTTGTAAACCCATTTCGAAATTCTGATCGGAAATTTTGGCCAGCTTCATCGCCTTCTAAAGTGTGTTCATTGATGTAGGGGGAGGGGGGGGGGGTCTGGTACCTAACCAATGTTTTTTTTTTTTATCTTTTTCGCGTGCGTATCTGTGCAAGCAAACACACACACAAACACACTCTAGAAAATTCATCAAGTATGATTGAATCTACTCTTTCCGCCCAAAGCAAAAAAAAAAAAGAAAAGTTTTGCAGGGCTACTTATTTTGCAGTTAGTGTGTTCCGCATGTAACCCGAGGTGGTGGACGTCGAATACCAACCACGGCTACCGCTTTTCGATCGGGGCAGAGTCCTCTCTTTATCACAGAATACACCTTTGTAGACAAGTTATTCTGGAGGTGTATTCAACCTTGCCACTGGCCTGCTTCAGAATCGATTTTGAAGGTTGGCATTAATAAATAAATGCCAGAGTAATGCTAAACTTTCAAATCGACTTTAAAAGCAAAATGTTGACATACCTTGGTAATACATGGCTATGTCCCATCCACATATCTTGACGTCGATATAAAAAGTGTTCATTAACCCCAGTTGGTCGAAATTTTCGGAGCCCTTCACTACAGAGTCCCTCATAATCGAATCGCGGTAAAGGAGTGCTGGACCCAACGGTTATTATTGCAATAGACGGGATCCCCTAAACTAGAACGTTAACCCTGTTTGACAAGCATTATAATGCCATTAAAGGTGCCCCGCCGCGGTGGTCTAGTGGCTAAGGTACTCGGCTGCTGACCCGCAGGTCGCGGGTTCGATTCCCGGCTGCGGCGGCTGCATTTCCGATGGAGGCGGAAATGTTGTAGGCCCGTGTACTCAGATTTGGGTGCACGTTAAAGAACCCCAGGTGGTCAAAATTTCCGGAGCCCTCCACTACGGCGTCTCTCATAATCAAATGGTGGTTTTGGGACGTTAAACCCCACAAATCAATCAATGCCATTAAAGGTATAGAGCAACGAAACTGGGCACAATAGAGGAGCATTATAATAGACTGCCGGTGAAATTAACTTAATTTGATGCCAATATTCTGGAGACCAAATCTGAATCAATTTGAAGTGTTACAACAAGTCGCTCGGTATTTTACATCAAGTATTGATAATTTGAACGTAAATAATCCCGTATTATTGTATGGCCAGTAATGACACATTTCTTTGTAAACCGAGTTCAACGATCCACACAAATGGCATGGGAATAGTTCTCTGCTAGCAGCGACCATTCTTGAAAAAGTAAAAAAAAAGAAACGAAACTTCGTAAACAACAAGGTCTCGTTAGACATGTCACTGTCAGCATCAAAATGATTACGCGAAGCTAAATATATTAGCCAGGAATGCTTCCATGCTAGCTTAGGCAACAGAAACACTTAATGTATATCATTAGCTCCGTAATTGTGGCCTCTTTGGCGTCAACGGTGTACACAAGTGAAAATAAGGTGTTGCCAAATGAAGATGCCGTGTCGCATAGGGTCAACGCAAGTTTAGCTCCTCATAGACTTGCCTCAACTCGTCTACGCTTCTTATCTCGGATCCCTTGCTTGTGAAAAGCCGCTTGGCTTGCAGACCGAACTTGACGCCGATATTTTCTAGAAGTGTTTCCAGAGACGTCGGTACCTTGAAGACCTGCACACACGCCATACAAAGAAAAGGACGTACATTTGCGCATGCGTACATTTACACATGCACTGTGGTTGTCGGCTTTTCCTCTCGTAAATCGTGTCTGCACCCTGGACAGAGTTGCAGCACAGAACTTGCAGTTGTTGGATGCTTTGCGCCAAGTCGGCTACTCTTCAGCCCGTTTGGCGATAAAAGTTGCTAGTAGGTGTCATGGCTATTTTCTTGCTTCTTTTAAACTTCTGGTTTTACTTATTGAAAGTGGTTTTATTTTTTATTGTTTCATTATTAGAAAAGACTCTGCTAATTATACCACTCCTGTTCTATTTAACTGCAAATCTCGCGATAATAATAAATGACGTGACTATTTTGGCTACTTTTGGCTCAAGTTCTGGCTTCTTTTCTAGTCCACCCAGGGGCAACCCTGACCCTGAGACATAATTGATCCTGAGCATAGAGTTTCCCGAAAATAACTAGAGGGAATTCTGGCGCTGCGATCGTCCAGTGACCATGGGAATGATTGGGCAGTACATGGATTTGTCAAGTCTTCGTGCTTGCAGGCTTCCAACGTACATGTGGCTTTGTTTATTGTGTTTTGCTTTTGTTTCGAATAAAAGAAGGGATCGTTTCTAACTTCGTGAAGCAATCAGAACTGGTGAGCCTAAGTGGTTAAGGTGGTGAAGTGCAGCTACCGAACATTTGCCGACTGTCGTTCCTTGACAAAGCATGCATCTCCAAGCCACACGAAGTCGAACGGAGCCGAAACTACAAAGATTGAGCAAAGCCGTGTGCTACCCATCATTCCTATGCTCGCTGAAGCTCCATGCGTTGCAGCTCCCGTGGACACTAGCGCCAGAATTCCCTCTAGTGTACTCACCGGAAACTCTATGATCTTGAGCATGGCCTCTGAGATATCGGCTGCACGACCACCATCTCGGAGGTCGTGTCCCGAGTCTCCGCTTCTGAGCTGACGTCTTACCTTCCATTCCTTGTCGTTCCCGTTGCGGTAGACGAGAATTCGTTTCGTGTTCTCCTTCTGGTCTTTGTCTGCGTCGTCATCGAGTCGCGCTCGCTTGGGGCTCGACATTACGTCGCTTGCTCGCTAGGAACCACGCGGTACCGAACCGAGTTGAGCGAGGCACACGAAAATTGCTGAACGAGACGATGACTGCGTGCGGCGATGAAGATGACGCCGCTTGGCGGCAATCATCCAGGAAAGCAGGGTGGCTTGATAATGATGATGATGATCCTCGGATGAATGGCACGTACCCACTCAGGGGATCAGCCAAGAGTCGGGTGGATATTACAGACTGGATTTATTAATTTTCATATTTTGTAAATACTAATAGTCGTTACAGATTCTATTATAAATAAACATTAATTAAGATTTAATCTAGTTTTAACTTATGCTATTTGGCGTAACGCCTATGATCAAAGTTCTCTTACTGGGATATCATAAATAAGTATTAGTGGTTGATTCAACTAGCGAATCAATTTGAGTCGCATATAAACTTCTCGACAGTATTCCTGTCCCCATAGAGTTTCCTTGATTGATTTGTGTGGTTTAACGTCCCAAAACCACCATTTGATTATGAGAGACGCTGTAGTGGAGGGCTCCGGAAATTTTGACCACCTGGGGTTCTTTAACGTGCACCCAAATCTGAGTACACGGGCCTACAACATTTCCGCCTCCATAGGAAATGCAGCCGCCGCACATGGGGTTTCCTATATATGCATTAGAGGAAACTCTGGTGCTAGTGTCTATGGGAGCTGCAAGGCATGGCGCTTCAGCGAGCATGGGAATTATGGGTATAACACGCATTTGCCTAGTCTTCGTACTTTACGTTCCTTGTGACTTCGCATGGCTTGAAGCTGCTTTGTCACGAAATAACAAACGGCAAATGTTCAGAAGTTACACTTTACCACCTTAGTGACTTAGGTTTAACTTTTTTCAAATCGAATTTCCAATTGGCTCGTTCCAAGTTCCAAGTGGTTCGTTCTTTCCTTCAAAACAAAACCGAAACACAGCAATAAACGAAGGCACAAATGCTATTCACCCCCCCCCCCCCCGCAAGTACGAAGGCCGATGTTTGTTCCCGCTGCTCCAGGGTCAACAAACTGTCAATCACCTGTATGGAGGAAAAGATTTGACGGCGTACGTACGCAATGGGATTTGCAAGTTATTCATGTCACGACCCATCAAACTTATTCGACAAGCTTTCTCACACCTAAATACTAATTCTGGTTTACCCCAAGATAAGGAAGCGATATACGTTGTACATATTGCAGTATATATAATATATGGTGATATGTACTACGTATATCGCCTCCTTACCTAGCAGACAAAAATTAGTATGAGATACACGGTGATATATAAACACGTGGGTGGCTAGATAGATAGATAGATAGATAGATAGATAGATAGATAGATAGATAGATAGATAGATAGATAGATAGATAGATAGATAGATAGATAGATAGATAGATAGATAGATAGATAGATAGAGATGGACGGACAGACACACAGACAGACATACAGACAGGCAGACAGACAGACAGACACACAGACAGACAGGCAGGCAGACAGACAGACAGACAGACATACAGATAGATAGATAGATAGATAGATAGATAGATAGATAGATAGATAGATAGATAGATAGATAGATAGATAGATAGATAGATAGATAGATAGATAGATAGATAGATAGATAGATAGATAGATAGATAGATAGATAGATAGATAGATACAGATGGACGGACAGACAGACAGGCAGGCAGGCAGGCAGGCAGGCAGATAGATAGATAGATAGATAGATAGATAATAGATATATAGATAGATAGATAGATAGATAGATAGATAGATAGATAGATAGATAGATAGATAGATAGATAGATAGATAGATAGATAGATAGATAGATAGATAGATACAGATGGACGGACAGACAGACAACAGACAGACAGACAGACAGACAGACAGATAGATAGATAGATAGATAGATAGATAGATAGATAGATAGATAGATAGATAGATAGATAGATAGATAGATAGATAGATAGATAGATAGATAGATAGATAGATAGTATGAACAGACAGACAGACAGACAGCCAGATAGATAGATAGATAGATAGATAGATAGATAGATAGATAGATAGATAGATAGATAGATAGATAGATAGATAGATAGATAGATAGATAGATAGATAGATAGATAGATAGATAGATAATAGATAGATAGATAGATAGATAGATAGATAGATAGATAGATAGATAGATAGATAGATAGTAGATAGATAGATAGATAGTAGATAGATAGATAGATAGATACTACGCAAAGAAATGCTTTGGATTCTTAAAGCAACGGCAAAACGTATAATTTCGTTACATACTATACCTTGTTTTTCTACTCTTAGTACGTGTTCTTTAAATAGACTGCGTGTACTTCCGGACTTTCCGTGATGTGTTCAACCTTACATAAGTGCCTCCTGCACATCCGGCACCACGCTGTGAAAAAAGCACATTGCAGACCCCGTAACTTCACTCTTTTTTTTTCTATTTTGACATTGATCGGTGGCTAGTTTTTTAAACGAGACTCCACATCGAGTCACTAACGCATCATTCAGAAAACGAGTCACAAAATCAATAGATCATCCGGTCATCCGATCATAAATCATAAGTTGTGTGTACTTCGGACTAAGGGCAGTACCAGCGCACAAACTTACGGGACGAAGAGAAGAGACACAAACAAACGCTATCAGTCCTGCTTCCGTTGTCCTTCCTGACTTTCCTTGGTGTGTTCAAGCGTACATAAAAGCCTACGGCACATCTGTCAATCCATCGGGAAGAAGGCATCTTGCAGACCCCATAACATCACTCTTGATTACATACCTGGCTTTGAAGTGAGACAACATCGAGTCAATTACGCATCATTCATAATGCGAGTGGCATAATCAATTGGTAATACGGGATAATAAACTGCGTCTACTTCCGGACTTTCCACGATGTGTTCAACCTTACATAAGAGCCTCCTGCACATCACTGATTTCGTTGTGAAAAAGGCATTTTGCAGACCCCACAACATCACTCTTTTATTGCGATAACAATTATATGGACGCCCCCAGCTGAATTTTGCCGCCGGTGTCGACGTCGATGTCGTGCACCGTATATGTAGACGTATATGTGTTTATGAAAACGCAACAAAAGAAAGAAATTCAAAAGAAAGGACTACGGCGCACGGAATAGAACGTGGGACCTCTGCGTCGTGAAAGCGAGGTGTCAGCCACTGAGCTAACCCGGAGAACGTTCTTGACCGTTCAAACGGCAAGCTATTTATATCTACCACTTACCGCTGCTGTGTTTTCGCCATTACCAGAAAGATAGCCCAATGAGCGCACGTCACCACATCACGCAGTGGCGCCCGCTCGTATCTCCTACGCGTACTTTGCCCGGCTTAGAGAAGGGGAGCGGCACTTTCTCGCGCGCCCTTATCTCGGGGTTGCAAGTGGGGGAGGATCGTACGCCTTGTCTGGCCTTGGGCTTTACGTGGAACTATTCTTCTGTAGTTACCGGGCGCACAAAGGTCACTGCAATCATTGCATTCTCCGTTCACGAAAAGCGCGCGCTTTTCAGACTCAGCGAAGTAACAAATGAGACGCTTACTTGCATTCACCCGTACCTGTGAGTACTTTTATGCGTAATTTGGGTGCGAGAAATGCGGGGCACGTTTCGATCGACTTTCCATTCGGCGCATTACCTTTCAAATGGTTGCTATCGCGTTCATGGCTTCGCCTTTGCGGCAAAGCTGTGACATCTTTTTTTACATTGATCACTTACCCGGTTTTGAAGTGAGACAACATCGAGTCAATTACGGATCAATCAGAAAACGAGTGGCATAATGAGTTGGTAATATAGGATGATGAACGGCGTGTACTTCCGGACTTTCCATGGTATGTTCAACCTTACACAAGAGCCTCCTGCACATCCGACATTTTGTTTTGTAGAAGGTATCTTGTAGACCTCATAACTTCACTGTTTGTTTGTTTTTACAATGATCACTTACGTGGTTTTGAAGTGAGACAACAACATCGAGTCAATTACGCATCATTCAGAAATCGAGTGGCATAATCATTTATTAATATGGGATAATAAACTGCCTGTACTTCCGAACTTTCCATGGAGTATATAAGAGCCTCCTGCACATCCGTTATTTCGTTCGGAAGAAGGCATCTTGTAGACCCCATAACCTTACTCTTTTTTTTTACATGGATCACTTACCTGGTTTTGAAGTGAGACAACATCGAGTCAATTACGCATCATTCAGAAAACAAGAGGCATAACCAATTGCTAATATGGGATAGTGAATTGCGTGTACTTCCAGGCTTCAGTCTTGTCGATGGATGCTACATCCAAACCCACATAGCCTTCCAGCTCGTCCCTGTGCCTATTGGGCGGGCAAGACAATCCCTATCCTGCAGCCAGGCAGTACTTCCTCCATAATTAAGGATTCACCTGCTGATTCCTGACTCTTGCTTGCCTTACTGTAAATGAAGCGTGCAAAAAAGCCCATCACTGTGGCCTACAATCCTGTCACCAATCGCCCAACACGGGGATTCTTTGGTGGTGCTTCTCGGTGTCGTTCCACTGTTATCGCGAGTGTGAAAAGTGCGTGGCAAACTGCATATCACATTGCCCCCGCAAGACAAGCCAGCGATCTCTGAATTCATTCTGGACTACAAGCTGCCCATGGAATGCTGTTGCAGCACCTTCACGTAAATTGCCTATAAATTGTCTATTCTGTTGGAAGGGTGGTCCAAGACTTACAGAATTTATGGCACCCGGAAATGGTAGACTGTTCAGATGTCATTAAGTGAATCGAGTTTTTAGTGACCGCCGAATATGCTGGACCCATAACATCAACTTACCTAGTGGACCATTTGGTACTATTTTTCACCCTGATGCTTCCATTTCACATGCATATGACTGCCGTGAGATTGATTGACCAATTTGGATGTTTTTGTTTGCCATCATAGAGGCATCTATTCACATTCTGAAATGTTGTGGGATATTGCTGCTGTTCTGCTTTAA